AAACTGAACTCCAGACAAAGATCAGCTATCCACTTAACTTGTGAAAGATTAGGGTGTTTTTTAAGGATGGGAACACATATCTTGGGTAGAGTAAATATCTAAAAGGCAAAGATAAAAATAAGAAGAGCAATTTGTGTCTGGTTTCATGAATCAAACTTAGTGTTCCTATTTGGTAGTAGAGGCCATTCAAGATGTTTTGTTCAATTCAATTCAGTTGATTTATACAACAGTTACAACCCAACATTTCTGGGCACTTTCCTAAAGAAAGTCAACTCAGTTCAATCACACATACATTCCAGCTGATCATAGTTATAAAAACAGTGCATTAAGCTCAGTTTGTGCAAAGTCTTCTATTTAAAGGTAACCTTTAAAATAGTTATCTGACTGCAAAGTTCTCATGTTTTCAGAATTTTGTTTGCGCTGAAAAGATTTCTGACGCGGCATGATCCGAGGGAAGAAGTCCCAGTTGTTTGTCAGAGTTCAGTTGTTTCCTGGAGTTAGTTTAATAAAATGATCTGAGAGACCTCAAGGTTAAATTTTATTCTTGTTTTCCTGAAAAAATAGGAAGTTATTTCAAAGAAATTTCACCAAAACATTTGAAAGGCAAGCAGAAAACTGATGTCAGCAAAGCAGTTCTGCAGGAATGTCCTAGACTTCTTCTGCTTCATGCAAAAAGAATGAATTAGAAATGTTACCAAGCCGGATCCAAGTATAAAAGAAAACTGAGATGCTGTCAGCAGAGTTTACACACCATGTTTTTTTTTTTTTCATCTTCCCCTTCAGCAAAGAAATTTACATGTCTTTCCATAAAAGAGAAAACTCCGTAGCGTTTGGGCATGTATGCATTGTCTTCTTGGAAAATATCTCTTCCTGTGGTCAACCTGCAACACTAAAACAACCAGTAAAATAAAGTTACGACTTGTCTCCGGGGTAATTGTGATAACAACGACTGTGTCTGATGGATGGGCCTGAAAAATGTAGAGAAAATCCTCAGTTCACTGAAACTGCAGAAAGAGAGGGAAAGTGGAGGCAGTGACACTCTGTCTCCTATTTATATGTCAGTGTGCAGGTGGGATATGACTGACTGAGAGCTTTTAAAGCATTTTATCTGAGCCAAGGTGGAAAATGAGATCGAGTGGACAGGATGCTTGAAAAATACTTTTTAAAAATATTGTAGGCCCGTAGTGAGGCCTGATTTTACAATTAAGCTTAACCAGGAGAGTCAAAAAAAGAAAACGTTTTTGAGTTTCTTAGAAAATACAACTTTCTTTCTATTATTGCATAATAATACATGTTTAAGCATTTAATTCTCATTTGAGCTGGTCAGACCATTTTCTTCCACATATTTGCTGTTTTGTGGCAAAATAGAAAAGGAATTCCTTTAATACTTTTTTTTTCCCTTTACCTCTTGTCCGTAGCAGAAGGATTTGTGTAGTGCACTACTAGCTGCGGACCTGTCAACAAATTGTCCTTCTGTATGCCCAGCTACTGTCAAAGTATAACAAACTTGTAATATTTCACACAACTTTGTCCAAAAGACAGAGATAAAATCATATTTGTGACTCTAATTGAAATAAGTTCTGATTTATTCGTCTTACAGAAACCTTTTACAATAAACTCAGTCAGAACCGTGCACAGCAGCATGTGTTTTACTCCATTATGGAATCAGATTTAGCTCTGGAAGGACAGGATGTTGAATCAAACCCCTGAACCACCCAGACAGATGAAACGTCTTTAGAAACCAGGGTAAAAGGAGCACATCCTGTACACAGCCATGCTTTTCAATGTTCTGGGTGACATTCACAAGGTGCATAAACCACTCGGGGCAAGTAATTTCCTGTGTTTACACTTACATTTAAAGGTGACATGTGCTGCATTGTCCCTCAATAAATCACTGTCAAGAGAAGCCAATACTTTCTTCTTCTTTTTTGTTTTTTTTACCTCTACTCATAACGTTTGTCGAGCAGCTTGACATTTACAGTAACAGGACAGGTTTTTCACTCAGGAGCTTCTGGTACAGTGCTTATATTTCTGTACCTGTCAAATTGAAGTTGCTGTAGAGAAGTCCAAATAACAGTCAAAGAAGCATCTCCTGCAAAGCAAACAAAAATGAAATCACTGGGATTCAGCAGAAGCTGGAGAGCATGACGGTTATTCCTGAGTCAGACAGGAAGGAAATGTCTTGGGATATAATGGTTAGTTGTTCAATGAAACCTCCCTATGCCTCATTGAAGGAGCTTTTTTTTTTTACCCAATTGTTTGTCTTAAAAATACATCTGAGTCATCATCATCGTTGTGCGTTCCTTTGAGGTTGTCTTCAAACAAGCAGCTACAAACAAAGGAACACTGGAGGCATCTAAGACCGGCTGGAACAATGAATATTTCATGTCTTCATTTTGCCCAGTGCTTCTGCAGGGACCAGTTTATAAATCACTGATAGCTCTGTTTTCATTTTGATGTCCTCCTTTACAAGTCTTAACTCATAATGGTGGTCAATATATATGTCTGTTCAAGTTACTTCCCTCTTGGGATTTGTGTCAGGTATTTTCATGCATCTGCACACAAAAATTTGCAGCATGCTTTCTGAGTCCAGTTTTACTGATGTTTGCACAGAGTCTGCTTATCAAAGGAGAGAAGACTTTGACAATAAGAAATAAAAACAACAAAAAAAAAACTTAGGGAGATTTTTTTCTTTCTTTTTTACAAATTGATTTGGAGGGATTTGCTGGTGCAAAAGGGGAGAAAACACTTCAAGCTGAGCACCAGATGTAATACTGATGTAATGTACATGTTTGTTAGAAACATTTCATTTAACTAGTTTGCAATTTCTGACACTACAAAATCCAGAGGAAATCTGCTTTTGACTTGGCCCCACCTTGGCCAACATTCAGCTCAGCTCCCTGGTAGGAATCAGAGGTTTCTCCAAACAGTTACAGAGTTATTAGTTATGTATATGTTTCATTGTTGTTTGGCATGAATAAGTTAGATGGAAAGTGTAAATTAATGAGTGTCAGAGGTGCTAGAAGGCAGTTTTCAAAACAGCCAAGTTGATAACACTACTGTGGCTCTCTGGTACCTAGAAGGTAAGAAATTAAGCCTTTTCTCCTAACTTTGATCTACTGCCTCAAGTTGGGGATTAAAATGTGGGGGAACCAGTGCCAGTGATGTGCTGCAGTCAATATTTTAAGTATTTCCATCACTTCACACAAATTCTGTTTGAGAAATCTACTTAAGCTGTAAAGGACGAACATCAGGGATATTTATATCATATATATCATCATAGGCGATAAGATAGATCCTTCTACATCTAATGCGACGTATTTTACTCTGAGTTTGTGATAGAAACAAAGTATGATATAATCGTGAAGTGGCAGAACAAGGCTCCACAACTTTTAATATTTGTCAACAAACAGAAATCTAAATGGCCTTTCAGATATGTCTGTACCTAAAAGGTCTTTGTACATCGATAAAATGAATATTTTTTTATGGAAAAGTAGCACAAACTAAGTCAGATTAGATAAAGAACATCAATTCCTAAGTCTTGCCAGACAGAGTCCATTTTCACATTGTCCATTGAAATATTCCCCGTGAATTGTTTATTATGCTCCTTGAATAGGCTAGGACAGGTTTACAAGTTAAAACATGTTCATTACATTTTTTTTTTTTAGACAAAATTACTCTTCGATAATGAGATTTTAGTTTGTTCATTTCAGTATGAGCTGTTTTTAGGGCCTCTTATTACTTTAAATCCAAAATAGCCCCCATACTCAACAGTTGTAGTAGCAATTATGCAACTATACATCTTTGAAAAACAGAAGTAGAGCCTCCTGCACAACCAACAAAAATGCAGCAAGTGGTTTCTGAGTGGTAGCACTTGTCTTTTCCAGTAGCCATTGTAAAGCTGACCAGGTGAACTGGAAATCAGCTGGTTGCTAGGTAACCGTGCAGTGCCCATTGAATGTGACTCAATAAAATCAAGAGATTTTTGAAACGGCTCATTTTCCAGACACCAAAAACTAAATAAAAACAGATGGGTTGTTTTTAGTAGCAGTAGAAACTCAAATGCCCCTTTAAAGCTCATTCCTGACCGGTCTGGTGTATTGCTTGAACTTCGTGATCTTTCTGTACACTAATGTTCTCTAAAAGTCCTCTGAGGCCTTCACAGACCTTTTTGTTTGTAAAATCCACATGTAGTTTTCATTAAGCTTCCAAATGGTCTGATTTGTTTTGACCCATCACATAAAATCCCAAATTAATTATGAGAGAGAGCGTTCACAGTTGCACTAGCAGAATCAGGGATTTTAGTAGAATGTAAAAATAAAGTTTGAACTCACACACACACACACACACACACGCACGTACAGATGCACACACACACACACACACACACACACTAAACATATACATGTGGAGTGACAGATTTAAACACACTCTCTCTCATTGACAGGGGAGCCAAACAATACAGAGGAGTTGATTAGGGCTGGAGAGAAAAGGACAGTCGGCTCCAGCTGCCTCTCTCAATTCATTGTCATTAGCAGTGGAACACCAAGCCCTTTTCAAACTCATTAGTTGATAAAACAACCCTCTGATTTCCCATTAAAAAACCCATTGGTCCTCCCTCCCTGCCCTCCCCACCTCACCCTTGCATTCCCACACCTTCAAGTCCTCCCCCGACACTGTAAAATAAACGAGCAGCTCCTATCCATCCCATGTAACAAGAAGCTCCGTTGCATATAGACTGTACACGCAAATTTCTGAGCTGCAGATTTGAGCAGACTACCTGTTTTCTGTAATATTTGCATTTCAGGATTTAGTTTCTACTTTTACTTTAAGCTATGTGCCCTCTTGGGAATTTTGAGCTGATGGGAGCTATTAGTGGGCTAAAATAGGAAAGTAATTGTGCGTCACGCAGTCGGGATGTGACTGAGTTTCTAATACACTCTTCTTTTTTTAAGTAATCACCTGAATATTTTGATTAAAGAGAAGTGAAATCTTATCTTGTTTCCTGGCAGAATAACAATTTATTTAAATTTTGACAAAAGGAAATACATATTTGTGCTTTGAGCAGTTGAACAGCTTTGTTTATATACATTTTAATACACTGTTTACATACATACATACATAATCTACTGATCACATACTTAAAATCGAATTATCATCACGTACTGAATATTCATAAATATCAAAGTCCCCATCACCCATATACCAATGTGATAATCTAAAGTTGTAAAAAATGTTCCTTTAACTTTTTAATTGTCAAAAACATTCATTTAAAGCTGCGTAGTGTCAAAATTCAAGTCAGCATGTCTCATTCAGCCAGGATCAACTTTTCTAAATTCTTGAACCATCATCTGAAATAAAACCCACAGCGGTTAGCGCCATTCTGATTGATCCAAGCGACTCGAACAAACACACGTACGAAAAGGTGACCGGCAACACCAGCGAGAAGCCACTCCTTCCTTTTCACGTCCGAGATCCTGAAGACGCACCTGAGCACAAAGTTTTTGTCATTTCTAGTTCTGGCTTTGAGAAGCGTGGATGCTTCTTCATACTTCTTTTTTTTTGTTTTGATTTTTTTTTTTACTCACTGTAATGGGTCAAACAGGCAGTTTTGGTTCTGAGAAAAACATTAACATAATGTCAGCAGAAAGCGTTTTACAAGTTTGCATGGATGTCCTCGTGTCGCAGCACTTTGTAGGTGACCCAGTAGAAGATGTTGAAGATGAGAAAGCTCAAGGGAAAGACGGCTCTGGATATGGTGTCGATCCGTTTGGCCCGGTCAACGAAACGCTTGTGAAGGACTTCGCCGTCGTACATAGTGACCGGGGGCAGAGGGGAGAACACAGTGGGCCCTTCCACGGCGGTCCCGTCTTTGGCTTGCAGGCAGTGACCGAGTCCATAACCACGGAAGTAAAATCCTCGGCTCTCCCGCATGAGTTCGTCCTCCTGTCGGAGCAAACACAGGAGAAAAAGCATTTTTAGTGGTTTTTCTCTCCATATTTTTAACTCAAGGGGATTACCACATGTATCTGGAGACAAGTTGCTCAAAACTGTAGCAGTAAAAATTGGTGTGAAAGCATTTTCTGAAAATAAGAAAAAAAAAACTCTGAAAGGTGACAAATGTTTAGCAACTCGAATGCGCAAAAGAAAAACGCAGATGTCACTAGCAATTTTAAAGTTGTTGACGGAGAGTAGACGCTATTGTTGCAAAGGAAGCTAAGAAAAAATAAAAGTTGCTTTCTTCCCCCATTGTTTACGTTTGAACTGACCATCTCTGGCTTCTTCCTGTGCAGAATTATGGTGCGTTCACACCAAACGAGATTTACGTGTCTAGTTTACATTCAAAGTCTATGTGGATCGCGGTGTGTTTCTTGCATCTAGCGCGGTGCGATTTTAAAGTGTTTGGAGTATTTTGACCGTTTGATGCACAAAGCACGTCCGACAAATAGGCCAGCAACAGAAACAGCAGCTAGAGCGATTTTAACGCATCTTAAGTGCCCTTGATGTGCCTCAATCAATGTTCCCTCTAATTCTTCAGCAAGTTGCATGGCTTATTAAAAGAATCAGATTACAGCAGCAACTTCCATTAGTTTGCTTTTAATATAAGTGATTTGCCCCACTTAAAATGAAAAAAAACAAAAACATTGCTGTTCATGAGATGCATAGTATGTTATATGTAATATGTCCTGCTTTGGCCATGGTGAGAAAAGAGACATTACACCTTTCAGACATAACTTTTTGTTCACATTAAAACATTCACATTCTGCACAATGAACTGTGTGCTCTAGCTTGTGATACTGTATAAATTCTTGTCTGTAAAATATTTAATTACACAGTTTTTTCACATCTGTCTTTCTCACTTCTCCAATGGCTGTACACTTTGTCCAGTGTAGAAATGTCTGCTGATCCATAGTCAAAACTGATGTCTGAGCTCAGTGCTTCAATGTCAAATGCTGACACTCCTTTAATTCATCATCTGGAAAACGAGCATCCATGTGACCACTGAGCTTACTAATAAAAAGAGTAATCTCACCAGTATTCCTCCTCCAGCAGCCATTCCATCTTAAAAGAAGCACATTTCTTTTTTACTTTGGTTGATGAGTGGATGTCCCACTGCCCGTTCACTTAGCCATGATAGGGTGTTAGCTTTCGCGTCTCTTAACTCCGCCGCACTGTTCCTACCTAGCAAATCTGCACGGTGCCACAGCGCATATGACCAAGGCACGTAGACACAATAGCAGGCGATGATTGGCTGCGTAGCGAAAGTGAACCGTATCGTATCATTGACTGAACAGTTGTGACCCACTGAGTTAGATCGTTATGTGTTATTGGTCCATAGTCAAAACTGATGTCTGAGCTCAATGTTCAGTTTATTTGGATTTTATTTTATGCGCTGCATAGATTTTATTGTGCGCTGAAAATGTACGAGCAGTGTGCGATTGCACAGGCAAGCAGCTTAGAGGGAACACTGGCCTCAATATAGACTTTGGATGTAAAACAGGCGCGCAAAACACTAGGTATCGAGCAAAATGTCAAGCAGGCATGAAGCATTGGACGCAAGAAACGCATCTGGTGTGAATGCACCATTACGACGGATGTCTAACATCAATGACGTAAAAGTCAAATAAAATGTGACACGACTGTTCTGACTGCAAATACTTGGAATACTATCGAATGTCACATGTGGGAATGGCGCAGGTCGGATATTTTTTGGAGGTGAGAGGATCAGAATTGGGCCATTAAGATTGCCATAAAAAAGTCGGATATGGATCGCATTTGCCAGAGTGGTCTTTGCAGTGGTAATCTCCTGTTTGTACTACAACAGGTCATTTGATAAAACTGGATCCATTTAGTCAAACAATAGTTTTTTTTTATTTGAATTCAGTTTGACTAGCTAATCTGTGGCATGTTCTTATTTCAGCACATCTATTTTATTGGATTTGTTTGGTTATGTAATTAAGTGTATTAATTGATAGGTTGTTTTTATATATGCCAGAGGAAAAAACTGCCAACAAAAACATTTGAGATCTGAAACTTTAATTAGAAACGCAATATTCAAAGCTCATCTTCTTTAATATCCTGTGCAGATGTTTACAAAGTCTTCTAATGACTGATCTTATAAATGTTTTAGAAAGCACAAAGCAATGATTCCACTTTTGTCTTCATGCTTTTTAAAAAAAAATAAAGACAGCTATTTTTACATTGAATGAGACATTGTTTCTGCCCTTTGAAGTGAATATTTATAGACACGCAGCTTAACTCTGACAGTCTCTCTGACACTTGCGGAGATTCAGTTTAACCAGAGGAAGTGAAGATGTGTGATCTAAATTGGATGATTAGCAGTCAGTGTGAAGACCTCTGAAAGCTCTGATCCGACCGTTTCAACTCTTCATTTCTCTCTCACCAACACTGACAGCTGCCAAATTCTGGACGTACTCGGAACAGAGACACTGAAATCTCCCGTCAGATATTATGCTACTAATGTGTACGAGAACCGACTCTACTCTGTTTAAAGAGATACATTTGTCTTTAAGTCAATTTGCCTATAACTGACCGCTCTGATCTTTAGAGTTTAGACAAATCTGCTAATTTAACTTCATATAAAGTTGATTCTATCACAGCAGCCCGGTTGTGAATTACTTTATGGTTACTGTATGATGTCCAAAAGACAAATTGCACCACGCAGCCAAGCTATAGGGAGTTGTTGCTCCTCTAGTACAGCTTAATTATTCCTCCTACTCTTTCGTAAATGATACAGTATGTCATGTGCTAGGATCTAAGAGTACAGTCCTCCAAAGATAATTATTGCTCGTAATCTGAGCTCTGTTCTCACAGCAGCAAGAACACCAAAATATTTTCCTCTCTGGGAACCAGATGCTAACTCTTTCCTGAACATAATGTTAGATATAACTATTGGAAAAGTGCAGGTGGCACCTTTAGGCTCCTGGAAATTACACTGAAGAATGAAACAGATTTCTGGAGGTCCACAACTCCCCCTCCTACCCCACCAATATTCTGGCTGATTTCTTTTGCAGTTTTTCTTATGTCACACAGGAAATAAGTGTTTTTAGGGCTGACATGGATTAATTGATTATTGAAATAATTTAGTGATCAATTAATCATTACCTGGAGTTTACAGACTTAGCAAATGACCATTTGCTAAAAGAACAACACAATCAGAGCAGTAATTAAACTTAAACTGTATACAAATTACATACATTTTGCAATTAAAATGAAAAAACCTTTATGTATCCATGGGTTTGCCTCTATTTAAGTCAGATGTTGTGAATTAACCTGTTCTGAACATCTAAAACCATGACATCATCATCTGGGCTTTCCCAAGATAAAGTATCTAACGCTACTGTAATATATTGTAGTGTTATAATTACTTTCCATAAAGCATCTGAAATACAATATTAATTTAATCTTTCTATGTTTTCAGTACAGAGATAAAACAAAAACAGCAAAAAAGCAAGAGAAACAGCCGTCTCAATTAATGCCAGAATTCTTTGAAAGCTTTAAGAAAAATAGGAAAGAGAGTAAGAAGAAGTCTAACCTATTTTACTTTAACAAGAAACACAACAGGGACAATAAAGGGCAGAAATTTGAAGTTGGTGAAATACTGGTATGCAGGATCAGAAGGTGAGCAGCAGAGGGTTCACGAAAACAGACGTGGGTTTGGCTGTGAGAAATACGGCAGGACAAATTCACATTTGAGGTAAAACTTTCACAACACAATCAATTTGGGTGGCTGGAGGCATGGACAGAAATTGGGTTGGAAGGTCAGGGTTGACACGGGCTTCATTCGGTTTTTTTTTTTTTTTTTACCCTTGCACAGGCGCTGCAATGCTGACTCAGATTTCTGTAGGCTGAGTTGTTACCAGGAATGTCATTGGGTTTCCGCAAAGACTCAACGCTTGCAGCCCGACTGCCAGTCGCCTCCATCGAAAAAGGAAAATAAAAACATAAGAGGGGGGAAACAACGTTACTGCTTTGACTTGAACTTTCATTTAGTTATTCAGTTTAAGTGGCTTCTGGTTTGCAAATTTCAAATCAAAACAGCAGATACAAAAGAGGCAATGACCCAGTCTAATATCTGAGGCCTTGTACACACCTAACCAGGTATCTATAAAAACTAATATTTCCGCCACATTGTTAAAAAAATATATTAAATTTTCATCCACATGAACCTGCATAAATTTGGGTTCTGAGTGTTGTTTTAAACATGCCAAACCCATAGGGGGCAGTGTAGCGCAACGCTAAAACCTATGTCAGCCAATCAGATTGCTTAAAAAAAACAGGACTTCCTGTTAGGAAATAGACATGGCTCCAGGAAGTTAATTTTTATGTTGATACACATATGGGGTGAACTACTTTTAAATAGCGTATTAGAATATATAATAAATAAAACACAAGCCTATATTGACTGGGAATGATGTCAAAGTAACTATGTGGAAATACTGATGCATTATTTGTCGCAGGACCCCAAATACATTTTTCACAAATCTCCACTTTGTTCTGAGTTTTTTTTATAAATAATTGTTTTTAAGTATTAAATGCAATTTTGATGTGGATGAAAGGCAAAGCCCATGAAAATTGATTTGTGAGAGATGAATACTCTTAATGCAGCAAATGCAAACCGTTTTAAGAAAGACTGTAAATGGAAGTAAAGATTAAATATTTGATTTATTTCTAAAGAACAAGGCAAGACAGAATCTTTAGTTAACCCTGTTTGTCTGGGATTTGTACCACTGCACTTAATTCACAACTTCCCTTCAGTAAAACTAATCGGGTCACGTGTCAATACCTCTCGGATGGATAGTTTGTGACCTCAAACATCTCTGGGGGAGTAATTGTGCCATCAGACATATTTTTCCCTGAAAGACCATTACTTTCTCTCCTCTGTATTGATGGTGGATGGCAGACTGCCCGGTAAACTCTTCTACATTTACAGAGAACACGTCTGAGGCTGCCCACTCTCTAAGGCATTTAATGGGATTGTCAAGATGTCTTGTCTATGGAAAAATAAGTGTTTCTTACGTATCTGTCTTTAAGCTGGATCCACTGTGGTAGGCGTATTGTTGTGTGAAAAATGAGACCTTAATCAAAACTAAGCAAACATTTAATGGAAATGCTACAACAAAACACCTAATATCTACAACTGCAACTGATTGGTGTTTCACCAACATTTAAGGCATAAACTAAGAGCATGAAGAAACTAATCTAATTAAAAAGCTAAACAAATAAAACGGGATGACGGCAACACAGCAACAATACAAAAGAAACAAAGATGATGAAAACATCCTCAAATCTTAAGTTGCAACAAATTTATGAAGTGGTTACAGACGCACCAATTGGAGGTTTATGGCTGATTTATGTTTTTTTTTTTTTCTTTTACATTGAACCATCAATCAATATAAATCAATTTTCAAACCAGTCTAAAAGCTGTTTTTCAATCTTTTGTGGCCATTAAGTTACGAATGTTACAAATAAGTGGAAACCTTTAAAACAGGGTTTTCCTACCCTGTTTTAATGTCATGTTTGTGCTTCTTGATACAAAAAGAGTAACAAAAGTCTGAAATTAAATTGGCAAATAAGATATTAACTGCTTATGAACGTTTAACATTTAAATGTATAAAACTGTGAATCATGGAGAGGTTGTTTCTCTGTATCAAATGGCGTGACAGAAATAAAGATTCTCGAAGCTCCTCACAGGTCAGTGCTCAACATGAAACTGAGCCGCGCTGAGATGAGCAGATCTTCCTCATGTAATATGACAGCCAGCTGTAGCGTGTTGATGTTGTCAGGTCCAGGATACATAGCACCCCATAATAACAAGAGGCATAAGTCAACATTATAGGAGCTGACAAGGTGTTGTGCTGCTGAATGGATGTGGTTTATCTTGTGCCTACTTTTTAGGAATCAGCTGCATCTTGTGATAGCTCGAATGTTTTATTTCCTGGAGACATCCTTCAGTTGTCTGTGTTCCTGCACAATTTACACTTACTATTCTCTGCTGCCGTTGCTTTTTCCTCAGCCTGATGAACTCCTTGTGTTGCCTCGAGACAAAGTTGACAGCTGCATACTCCAGCAAGGCGGCGAACACAAACAGAAGGCACACTGCCATCCATATGTCAATGGCCTTCACATAGGACACCTGAGAACAGCAAACACCACGGGGTAATCAAGAGCCAATCAATAAGGCTGCAGGGAAATTTGTGGGTGGTTCACAATCCACCCGTTTGTCAGCTGTGGGTTGCACCGACCCTCGTGTCTGGGATGACCTAGAATTAAAATGAGTCGGTGAGTTGTGGGCAGTTGAAACGTAGCGATCGGACAGGTCACGGCCAAGACTCAGGGAATGCCCCAGCTGTGTCATTCATAAAAGACGACATGCCAAAGCACATCAGCAATACTGGAGCAATGCATAGTGGCTTCACTTAATTAGGCAGCAATTTACTGGCTGTTAAAGAAGCAAGCACTGGAACAGAGAAGAAGGAAATTCTGCATCCATTATGATTTTCTGTCATCATCTCTTAACAGGATCTAAATCATGCAAAATTATGTCTAAATCGTTCAAAGTTTGCCACGCCAAAGTAAATCTTTCTCTGAATGATTTAAGAAACAACATACTTTTGTTCCATAAATCAAAAGTAGACCTACTTTTACATGTATGGAGCTGAGATTAAGTTTCTGCTGCCTTCTTTCTGAGCTGATTCTGGTATAATCAGGAAATAATAGAACCAAATAAACCAAAGGCTACGCAAAATAGATGAACTTGCTTTAAGATACACTCACAACCAGTTCATTGGCTAATAGTGGAGCTAATTTTTCCTTTAGTGCTTCTGCTAACTTTTTACCTACCCCTACTTTAATTTTTACAGATAAAATCTGAAGCACAAATTTACTTGCATGTTTTGTAAACATTCAGTTGAAAGAAGATCAACCAAAACTTCAACAAAGAGGATTTTATGGAGGATTTTATCAAATGGATAGACGATGGGATTCATGCTCTTATTTTGAAGTACTGGCAGAAGTGCTATTTCCTCTCTCCTCTCCTCACATTCTCTCTCTCACTCCTTTTTTGTCCCCCCCAAAAAAATCTTTATTTCAAACCAGAATACAGAAACTAAATAAAACATGGATAGTAGCAAAGAAGAAAAAGAAGCAAAGGGCATTATGTAATATGTAAATTATAATGTCATAATTACATTGGTCCTCCATGGTTGTTCAAGGCAAGATATAATTTTAATTGAAGTTAGTGCCACCATTTTCCCCTCAGTACATGCTCAGCTCAAAAACATTTCACTGATTTCTGTGGATAAAATTTTAAACTACTGCGACAGAGATCTGCTGCTTTTGTCTGCATTACTGTGATTCCATCCATGTTTGTCTTGATACCTCAGGCTAACTTCATGTATTTTAACCAGAAACCAGTAGAAATATGGCCAGTCTTGCAGACTTACCTTCGGCAGAGAAGCTCTAGAACCAGAGCTCTGCGTGGTCATCGTCAGCACTGTGGTGATACCCAGACCAACTCTGGCCGGCGCAGCGTCCATGTTTATCCAAAAGGACACCCAGGACAGGATAACGATGAGGAGCGAAGGGATGTACATCTGGATCAAGTAGTAACCCATCTGCCGTTCCAGGTGGAACTTCACCTCAATGCAGGTGAATTTACCTGAGGGAACAGCATGAAATATTAAACTCAGGCTTATGGCTCTTCTTTGTGTTCACTTTCTTTTTTTTACACAAAATACACTGAAGTTGCAACATCAAAAAAGCTAAAAATGGTAAGCAAAATAAATCCCCTTCAGTCAGTGTAACCATATCAGTGCAGAATGTATTAAAGGAGATGCACACTCTGTACCAGCTTTGACTGGGTCGTTGCTTTTTTAAGACTTTAAGTGGAATTCATTCATTCACCTGTGTTGTAGTGCTTAGTGCAGTAACCCAAGTCCTTTTCTTCTTTCAGCACAAACTGTGGGAGTGTGAGATCATCAGCCACTTGAACAGGGTTGTCAGACAGCCACTCAAAGATCAGGTCATTCATGGTGTAACCAACTGTGAAAGAGGAAGGACATAAAGCAGACACAGACGACATTCAGTCCAGAGAGAACTGTTTTTCTCTTTATGAGGAAATAAATATATCCATGTTTTTTAAGTAAGTGCACCTACTAAAATAGCATAGCTCACCATTATCCATCCTTCTTCTGACAGTACTGGGTATCTAACCGGACACAACTCAGCAAACAGAGAAGACAGACAAGAGAAGGGATGCTGTCTTGCAGACTGTGTTGCCCCATGATTTTTCATTATTACTGAATTTTCCAAGGTCTGGAGAGGCAACTGGAAACCCTCTGACATTGAAAATTTAAGGTCTCTCACCAGGTTTGACCTTTAAGTCTGGTACCAATGCTAAAAGAAGAGATGGCTGCAATAACTACCTCTTTATCTGCATTTCTGACAGTTTATATCTCTTTTAATTAGCTGCAGAAATCCTCCCCAACTACCATTAATTACCCTGTTGCTACATGGGCAGCATAGCTGCAGAGGTCCACTAATGAACCGTCATTTGATTCAGGGGTGTTGAGCACCATTGTTCTAAGACTACAAAGTAGGTTAAAATGATCTACAAGAAGAACTGCACTGATTTACAAAGAAATGTACATCTAAGAGAACTAGTAGACTTAATATAAAAGTGGTTCCTATGAAATATTATTGAAATTGAGCTGTTAGCATGTCATGACCTTAATAAGACTGACACACAGTAACAAACTTCAGCCAGAAGCCTCTTCAGATTCCCTTTAAAACTAACTGCTAAGTAAATTAGTGCTTCAGAATTTATCTGGAAGCATTAATTTAGGAAAGGCTAAGTGTGTTAAACATTTTCAAACTTAACTAAAGTGCTAAATAAAAAATTAGCTAAGCTACTAGCACATTAAAAATCTTATTACTTCCAATAACAATAAACTTGTTGATAAATCACACTACTTCAAACCAAAATTTACCAGAAGTATGAATACCATAAAATGATTAATTTTGAGGTTCTTATGCAGAACACTGGCAAAAAAAAAAAATCCTACATTTTGCTAACAAACTGCAAAACGCTTTAAGGTTTTATGTGTTTTCAGAACTGTGTAGTTTTTGTTGTAGCAAAAATACATGCAGCATGAAACACCGCAGACTTCCTTGAGCATCTGAACAATACTTACATCTACTGGGAACCTTCAGGGCCTGAGCTGCAAAGACATCAATTATTCAAGATGCTACACCCAACGCTGTACCTCACGTCTGAGAAACACTTCCACAAAAACACACTTATTTTGTTCTTGAGAAGAACTGTCATTCACACATCCTCCCACAACAACCGAGGAGAATGCCAATGCCTTCCTAAAACAATACAACGGTCTGCTTTGCTTCTGTCAATTATAACCGTAAGGTTTGGCAGACATGACCGGCTCACGTAGCAGACTAAGAAATTCCTGAGCTAGAATGTCTGGGATAGTGAAGCGCGGTCCATTCGTCGCATGTCATCCACTTTCGTATGTTTAAAAGCCATTCGTCAAGTGAAACGCTTCACAGCCACCGTCTCAGTCTCTCTTCCATCCTTTTCATCGATCGTTGAAGATAGAAAGTAGGCTTAAGGTTACTGAACACTAACGACTCAAGGCAGGAGAACATCTTATAAGATGCATATTTGGAGCTTTGAAGTGCCAGAATAGGAAAAAAAATCCTTGGAGCTTTTTATACATCTCTATAAGCCAGTGGCGTCAAAAGGCCAGGCAGAAGGTTGGCCTTGGCTTCCTAAAATCTGGACGATTACACCTGTTTTTTCCCCTCTAACAGATGGTGTAGGCACATTTTCAGTAGTGATAGTAAAACCTATAATGTCCTCTCAATGTTAGGCTCCAGCCAAGGTGATTGCACCCATGGGTGGTATACTAGCACTTGTCAACACAAGGCCAAATATTCTCACTGGGCCTTTAATCAAAAATGATTACCTCTCCTCTAATGGCAGCAGAAAGTGATACAGTAACTCAAACCAAAACACACTCACACACCTTTAAAGTCCACAATGCTCCCTTTAGTTTATACACTTGGAGAATAATATATATATATATATAAATATATATATATATATATATATATATAATATATATAATATAATATAATTCTTTATTTCCATTTTCATCAATCTATTTAAATTTGTTTCAAGCGTAAAAACATTCTCGCTCTAAAACTAAAACAACCGCAAGGAGATATTGGCATATTCAGAACAATTCAGATTTAAGTTAATATCAGCTTTAATTACCATAAAAATCAAGAACTTGGAGTCATTAATATTGGGACTCAAATACCAGTTAATCAGTAAATTGTCACTACTGATTAACTAAAACCAAAGGAACAAAATTAAGATAAGCAACTAAAGTAAAACAATAACCGATCCTAATTTACAAAGTATTGATTAAAGAGAAACAACTGATCATTAGGAAAACAACACTAAATACTCACACTGTTGTAAATAAATACAAGTAAGTAAAAGTGCAACTATGAGCTTATCTGGATTCTATAGAATTTTACTGAAATATAAAAAGGCTAAGAAGTGAAACTCTCCTTCAAGAAGCTGATTGATCAATAGTTTCCCTCATTATGCTCAAATATTAACCTTGAAATAAAATAATGTTGTATAAATAGAGATCCAGCAGAAAAATTATGATTATTAAAGAACAAAAATTAAACATACTTTAAAAATACAATAATTTTTTATCATGTCCTGCAATTGCTATACTAATGAAAATATACTTCTAAAATAGCAAGCTTCATTAAACTAATACTTTCAAACAAATAATACTGTAGTACACAAATTTTCTATAGTTGGTACATTATTATGGTAAAACACAAGAATAGATAAATTATACATCACAGTTTTTCAAAATTTTCTGAACTGTACATTCAAATGCTAATATTTGTAAAATATTTGAAACTGATAGATGAGCAGCTCTTGATTTTTAATAGAGCCATTAAAACGTCTCAGTTTTCCAGAACTAGAGCAGCACAACCTTTACAAAGTCAAGCTGAGAAATGGATGAAATGGGAGTCAGACCAGAAAATTAGAGGCCTCTTATAAAAGAGTTAATTTGACCAAGTCATAATAACAGCTATACAGGGTAAAGTTCACATCTGTTGTGCTATTTTTGTTTCAAATTGTTTGTCCTTGTGTTAATTACAGAAATAAATCATGTTGCTTATTGGAGACTGTGGAGGTCAGTTCCACAAACACTGAAACAAATTGTTGTTGGACCAGATAAAGATATAAGAAACACCACCAGCTCTCCTTATTTGTGGAACATCCTTCTGCAGAGATTACTTTATGACACAGGTTCTTTGTCCGTTTCACCCTTTGCTAAGCTTAAATTCCCTGTGATAAAGAACTAAATCACCTCTAGGCATTGCGGCGAGTCACATAATAATAAAAGGGACACTGAAATAAAGTTTTATTATTTATATCCTGGAAATTGGTTTCATAAGGGCAGATCTTATCTCTGCTAAAGGTAAGGAGACACTGAAAAGAGAGAATATCATTTATTCCATTTTATTCAGTCCAGTAACCTTATAAAATGTTTCAAATGTATAAATTATCCCAGCATTTAAGCATTCGAGTTGTGTGTAAAATAGTAAGAAAACGTCATTAATCATTAATTTTTCCCTTGTCTAACCATGTTTGTAACAGTTTCAGCTGTTTTAAACTTTTAATTAACAAAAACATAAATAACTGTAATATATTAGCTAATTTCCTGCTGCCATTTGCCAAGTTAACATGTATCTGTCTTATTTGAATGGTGCATTCTCTGATGTTTTCTATTTTGAAGAATGACTGAAAGAAATGGGTTTCCGTGTCCCGCCATATTTTTATTCCAGAACTCATCTTCAGTTTCTTTGATTTGAACTGTAAAGAGTTTCAGAACTGTAAGTGTGGAGATCAAAGTAGGAGACTAATATATCTTTCTTTTGTAACATGTCTTTAATATATTATAATGATAACAACAACAACAATAATAATAATAATAATAATAATAATAGTAATAATAACATATATGCTCCTCAATCTCTTTCTTCATCTTATGAGATTTTAAATGAGAAAAACCAGGCCTAATCACAGAGGATTTTAGTAACTACATACATTTAATTGAGTAACTTAAAGAAAGAACTGTCAATTTTTATAGGACCTTACTTTTTATTTCTAACTGAATATATAACTTAATATAACTTTGAAGTAACACGACTCTTACATTTATAACAAGTTGACTGGTTCTTCTCACCCTTCATTGCATAGATGATTTGAGTTAATCTTTGTAGTTAACTCAAGTTTTTTTAACATGTTTTTTCCTTGTAAAAAAACATATTACAATGAAGGAAGGAAGGCAGAAAAGACAAAAGTAAGAAATTACAGAATAAAAGAAGAGAGGAAAGAAACAAAAAGGGAAGGACATAAGGAATTACAAAAGGAAGGAGGGATGCAAGATGGGAAGAAGAAAGAACAAAAGGTAAACGAAGAAAGTACACAAAGTAAAAAATTACAATGTAGAAAGAAAATGCAACAAGAACAGAAGTACATCAGGAAAAAAGAATACAGAGAAGCTATGGAGGAAAGAAGGACACAAGAATGAAAAAGAAAGGAAGTTGGCAGAGAAAGAAGAAATGATAGAGGAAGGAGGGAGGACAAACATTTAGACAATGGGACTAGTATTAAAGTCTGGAAACAAATATTTTTCCAGACTGGATGGGACTCATGTAGCTAAACACTCTGCTACTCTCCTTCTTTTGGACAGATTTGTTGCATGTATCATTCTTTAAGAAACAGTGAACCCCTTTAGGCATGGGGCTTCTTTCCAAGAATATGTGTAAATATTACCATGAGCTTTTATTTTTGTAATCAAATTTATACTATTGTAACTTGTGAAACGAGGTACACTGGAATAAACTTAAAATGTCATACAGAGTTAGTATTCCTTGGATTACAGCCATGTAAAGCAAGGCAAAGGCTGGAACACCAAAGAGATAAAAAAAAGAGATGTAAGAGAATAAAGGAAGAGGAAGAAATGAAAACTCACAGCTTTCAAGCTGCATGGTGCAGGTCTGAATGTCCATTGGGAAATTCTTCAAGTCCATAGGGCAGGACAGGGTTAGAGTCAACCTGAGACAGAAACAGATTGGAAAAAAAGAACGGGAGCCATAGGGAATATCAGAAGGCCTTAAAGAGCTCAGGGAAATGTTTCCAGACATAAGGAGACATAGTAAGATTACAGATTGAAATAACAGTCAATTTTATAAGCACAAATGTACTTTGCTTACCACTTTACGGAATGCAAATGTCTATAAAGTCTTAATAAAGAAAGGGGGCAAGAGGTAAACATCCCTCAATGACAGAAGATTGGAAAACATCTTGAGTTACCATTTGTTCAGTCATTGCACCACAAGTAAATGAGAAGTAATTGTTGTAGGCGTCCTGACTTCATTTGTTGTGCAGTTGAAGCTTTTTGGCTTCGAGGATTCTCAGAGAGGAAAGACAGAGAAAGCTATTTAGGAGTCTGACTGAAGGAAAGCTGTGTAATTACCCGCTGTAATGCATTGCCCAGAGGCGAGACAAGAGCCTCCAGCAATAAACACACTCGCATCCATCTGATAATGTGCTATGATGATACAATATCATTTTCTACAGAAGGAGAACAGACTACAAATACCCTACTGATTGAATTCTCACACACGGCTTAAATAGTGTCATTTATTTCAGGTTGATTTGATTCATAATTACCAAACACAGCTAGGAAGCAAATCAGATACGTGACGGCTCAGTCGCTCAGTGGATTGGAGACGTTGATCTGAGTGATGCTGACACAAATGTTTCGTCTCCCTTCAGCCTTCGAATCAGTGCATTTGTGAGTGTCGTTATTTCTAAGCCCTGGATTATGCTTAAACCTGGTATGCCTAAATTGAGAATGGCTCATTTTGGTGATGCTAAGTGGTCTTTTATCCAGGAATAACCAGCTGCTTTAAACTGAAAGACTTATTTACAGTGGGGAAGATATTTTTTTGAGTTTCTCCCTTAAAAAAGAGTGAAAACCTCTGTGATTTTTGTCCACAAATGTGAGAAAATATCCAAATCAAATTGTTTGATTTTTAAATAATTAATTAGCATTTTATTGTACAAGATAAGTCTTTGATCACCTACCAACCAGCAAAAATCCTGGCTCTCACAAACCTGTTTGTTCATCTTTAAGAAGCTCTTCTATCCTCCACTAAGTACATGTATTAAGTGAAACTGTTTAAATTTGTTACCTGTGTAAAAAATCACCTGTCCACATACGTAATCAGACTCCAATCTCTCCAGTTGTCTAAGGACATCAGGGACAAAACTGTAGAGCTGAGCAAGGCTGGGATAAGCAAACAAGTTGGTGAGAGGGCAACAGCTGTTGGCGCTAGAAAATGGAAGAAATGGAAGAAACTCAAGATGACTCAATTCCTCTAGGATTATCGTATAGAAATAATAAAATAAAATAATATTCCTAAATATCAGACCAGTAGAGATCAGTTTTCTCTCTGGTAACTTTGGAATTACTTTTTGCACTTGGTAAAAGCAGGTCTAGAGTTTATACATGATTTAAAACTGTACTTAATAATAATAAAAAAAGACTTTATTGTTACATAACTCTACTTAAATTACCATTAATATTTTGTAGATGTGTTTTTATGTTTTCTACATGCTGCTCAGCCAGTCAAATCTCTTGACAAATCTGGCTGGGACTGACTGTGGAAGAAACTGTTTAAGCCACTCCCATTTAGAAGGGGCTAAAGGTTACCATAGCAACACATTACACTGTCATGGCAACACATGTCCAGGCCCTTCTGAAGTTTGCCAGTGACTACCTGGATGATCCAGAGGAGGCATTAAAGCAGGTCATGTCAGATGAGACCGGAACTGAACTTTTGGTACAAACTCTCCATGTTAGAAGTGAGGAAGAAGAATGACTACAATCCCAAACCGTAAAACATTGGGGTAAGCATTATAGCGCTTTTCTCCATGTTGAAGAGAGAATACATGGAGCCATGGGATTGGGAGATTTCTTTCTTCCCCCAGTAAGTGAACTGAATATGGGTCAATGTTGGGTCTTCCAGCAGGACAATGAGGCAAAACAAACACCCCGGGCATCTAAGGAGTGACTCCATAAGAAGCATTTGAAGGTCCTGATGTAGCCAAGCCGGTTTGGAGGAAGCTGAAACTCTGTTTCCTAGCAACAGCCCTGAAACCTGAAAAATCTGGAGAGGTCTAAAATGCCTGATGCAGTGTGTGAAAACCTGGCCAAGTACTATAGGAAGTGTCTGGTCTCCTTGATTGTGAACAAGTTTCTCTAACAACCATAAAGTTTTATTGTTTTTTGCCCAATGGTAATAGTATTCTCAGCTAACTTCACCTACTTTTCATTTGCAGTACTGCCACAATGTTTGTAGGTGAAAAATTAGAAGAATAGTGGTAAAATTCGCAATGCATAAACATATTTATTGTATACTTCACATTCCGTCTTGTACTTAAATGTGTGGCTTAGCCCCTTGGAAATTGTTATATTTAGCCAATAATCTTTACCTTTTGAAAACAAGGAAGCCATAATGTTTTAAATCTGAAATGTGATGCTGGTGACTTGTCAGGAGTGTGCGTTGCTTTTTTGCCCAGTAAGAACCAGAACAATATCCATCTGCCACTCAACATTAAACAGAACAAAATGGTTACGGAAAATAGATAAAAAGATTTAACTGTGACATCCATGTCATGACTAGAAATAAGATCCTCTTCTCTGGTGCTACGCTTAAATCGGTAAGATTTCCTCTCCCCAGTGCAGAGTGTCATTTAAAAACTTCCATCAAAGCCTGTCACATGCTCTCTGTTTGGCATTTTCATTAAATCTTTTTCACCATGCTCCCTCCATCCCTTTTGATGAGTGGACAGATGCAGAGGGTGCTTGTCTTTGGAAATTTGGCAATCCACAGAAGTCGAGATGTTCTGCATGATGGGATTTCTTTGCTGTCTGCCTGCTTTGGTGGTATTTTTGATGTGAACAGTTTCTCACGCGACACTGAGTGGGACCGCAATCAACTCAGTTGATTTTGGTTACTTGGTAAATTTTCGTGAAGGGAAAGATACGACTACGGCAGTCCAACTGGAATGAGAAAAAAAAAAGGACTAAAAAAGAACCTACATTAGATTTTTAAACAACTAAAAGTTAATTTGGTCTCTAATTACAAATCCACATCCAGTGGTTTAGTTTTGCTGTCTATGTTTCGACTTCACTCACCTGATGCTGTAAAGAACGCTGCCATCTTGGAAAATCCGCAGCAGCTTGTTATCCGTCGTGACCTCGTGGAAATTGGCTCCCTTCTCATTTGCGAAGAACAGATCAGGTTTCCAGATCGAGTCCAGCATGGAAGGATCCAGGTCCAGGGAGTTGTCTGGGTATTCACTGTACGCCAGCCGAGGGTCGTTCCAATTTTGCCGTAGAAACACGTTGAGTCTGTAGTCCTGTGGAAGAACTCGGCGTAGTTTATGGAAAACATACGACAAGCAGAGATGGATTTTCTGCTAATTTTAAAGATGCGAGGATGACAAATACTATATTAATTGTTATAAGGATATTAGATATAATTATTGATTAAAATTATTTTAAAAATGTAAAATATGTCTGGCAAAAACTTGAAACAATTTAAAACACTATCTTACAAATATTGTATAAACACTGAACCCAATGAACAAATTGCAGCAGTTGTAAACGTCACTTGTATCAAAGGGTTTCTGGCTTTCATTTAATTCTACGATGCAGGAACATTATAAACTGAACAGGTATCATGTGAAAATGTGGCAGAGCTAAATGAAAAACATAATTTATAAGATATTCCCCTTTTTAATCCAAAACAAATCAGGTCGCTGGACAGTCTAGTCCAAAATTGTTCATACTCCTGGGAGATTTAGAATTGGCAGTAATATCAATAATTTGGAGCCCCTGTAGTATTAGGGAATATTGTTTTGTTTCGTTCATGCGGCCCATCCTGTTTAAACCCCAAAGCCAAATGGTAACACTGCAGACGGCCATTGTCTTTGATTCCTCAGGTGGTCAGCCTAATCTCTTTGATGTTGGAAAATCAATAGACTGTGACTCTCCAAGGTGAATTATCTGACATACAGCTGTTTGAGATTTGCTACTAGATTGTAAACCAATCTTCCATTTGAGAAATGTTTGTCATTATTTATATATGCAGTAATTCCTGTAAATGGATGTGAAGTTTTGCATTTTTCAGACACTCTGATGTGTGATTTTCCTCCTCTGCAGAGATCTTTTACAAAATAGTGAAGGGCTGTAAAGCAGCTAATGTTGGATTAGCAATCTGGATTTGGAACCAGAGGTTATGGGTAATTCGCTTGGATTAGACAGGGAAGAACTTATTTATTATCTGACTATTATATGACTTGAATTTGACAGAAAATCTGTGAAAGGAGCTAAAAAACAAAATGTGGGTGATTGCCAGTAGGTCTTCCAACCTCAAATAGGAGCCATTCATCAAAGAGAAACGGTCAAAATATATGCAAAAAGCAGATCAGCAGTTACAAGAGGGGTTGCAATTAGTTATTTTTTCTATTGATAACTGAGGAGGGTCTAAATTAATAAGACAGAAGGAATATTTTCAAAGTATTGTACATGTTGCAGTACGTAATATTAAGAACACTGCATCCATGGCTCATTAGAATATTAAAATATAAAGAACTGTTCAAAAGTTTTGATAAATCCTCTATTTTATACGGTATATTCTAATATTTCAAACCAGTCTTCATTGTTATTTCTTTAAGCTTTCTGCAGGTTTTTACTGACTTTGTTTCAGCAGCACATTGTAATCAGGAGTGCTGTCGTCCTGGTTGTAACCGGGGAGGATTGCTCCTCTGGAGCTCCCTCAGATCCCCTTAAACAGTTCACGACTGTATTGCGCTGACCCAGCAGCAATAACACTATCAATGCAGACCTCTTCACTCCCCTCTCTCTTTCGTTTCAGTTTTTCAATTTTTCATTTTAATTGCTGAGTGGACAGTTCATTATCAGCATGTCAGTGACCCGCTGGCCTCTGAAGGTTGCGCTGCTGTGCTCCAGGAAACAGAAATGAGAGGCTTCTGCAGTATGGGGATTAATAACGAAGATGATCGAGGAAGAGAAAAGAACTGGTTGAGCGTTGCTTTGTATTAACAAGGGAGATGATAGAGTGATGGTTAATACCGATATGTTACCACAAGTGATATATAGGAATGTATTTCAACAAAGTTTTATTCTTAGAAGGTAAAAGTTGATGACTTACCATGGTAGTTTCTGTAATAGACCCAAAGCTGTTGATGAAAATATTGCAGGTGACATTCACAGGAGGGCCTGGGGGAAGAAACAACAGACTGAATGTACACATCGCTCCCTTAAGTCGGGATTTATGAGATTAAACCGGTGCCCACGTTAAAGCTACCCATTATACTGTACCTCTCCTGAGGCTTCTGAAAAATGTCAGCAGTTTCTTCATTACTTTTCATCTTCGTGTATTGATTGCAGCTGAGAATGTTACAGGAAATTTACCTTTGATTTGGAGGAAACTGGAACTTTATTTCTGACCTCTATGTCCGAGTGCAAAAATAAGCAGAGTGTTGAATTAGAAATCCACAAATAGAAATGTTGGGACCGTTAAAACAACTAAAGTGCTAATCAATCGGCCGGTGACTGAAGTTGCTAAACTTTGACTCTGACTGGTCATCAGCAGGTAAGATAATAAAAAATCTGATTTTTTCCTGTTTTTGAAACCCATCAAAGGGTACGTTCACACTGCAGCCTGAAGTGACCCAATTCCGATTTTTTGGCAATTCCAATTTTTTTGCCGGGGTCGTTCACACTGCCAGTAAATGCGACCTGTATGCGTTCTGCAGTGTGAACGGGCTAACGACCTGAAAGTGTCCTGCATGCGCACTAGAGGGCGCAATAGCGTCAGCGTTCTCAGTGTTCTGCCAACCGCCATGAAAAGAAGAAGTGCTCAGTGTTTGCGGAAGTAAACATGGAGGCTAACGGTGGAGCTTAGCTTACATATTTGAAGTTGTTGTCCGGCCGGAGAAACATATTAACAACTTAATCCTCATATTGACCGTCATGGTTGTTGTTTTTCTTCTCGCTTGCGCTTATCAGGACGCAGAATAGTGAGATTTGTTGAGAATCAGTGACGTTCAGTTCGAATGAATGCGACCTGGACATTTGAATCGGATACGTATCAGATATGGGTCGCATTTGAAAAAGAATCCAACCTGTGCTGTTCAGACTGTCATGAAAAGATCGGATACAGGTCGTATTACATCAAAAAAATCGGAATTGGGTCACTTCAGGCTGCAGTGTGAACGCACCCAAAACTGACTTTTACCGTATTTCCTGGACTATAGAGCGCACCTCACTATAGTAACAACTGGAAACATACATATATAAGGCGCTGGTAACTCCCCCGCTCTCGGTTTTCCACAAGGACGCTCCAAAGCCGAACTATGGATTCACTCACGCCGAGCTTACGTGCAGCGACTATCGATCGATGTGTACTGTCAGATCGATAGCCCTCAACTTAAAAGCGGCATCATATAAACTTCTTCGTGTTGTTTCCATGATGAGGTGGGGGTATGAGTTTAAAAACATTTCTCAGTCGTGCCTGCTGCTAACATGTGCGTGTTCTAAATGAAAATCAGCACATTCTTCTTTGATTTTAAATTTTGACTATCAATGATTCACTTCCTGCTAAAGAGCCCCCTGGCGGTTGATGGAAAAACCACAGAAAAGCCGCACCAGGCTATAAACCGGATGGTTCAAAGAGTGGGGAAAAAGTAGCGGCTTAAATATGGTACCTCTTTTTTTCAGCGTTTAAATACATCCACAAACCACATTTTCTGTGGTAGGAGTTTAGGGACTTCTTTCATGGATAAATAGCAATGCTTTCTGGTGAATTCAAAACTCTTGCCTTTATGAAAAAAAAACTGTACTAAATTGATATATGGTCAATGTTTGTCACCTTAAATTTTTCAATTTAAATAAACTTCACACACTTGAGATGGAGAATAGTGCTTCAAATGAAAATTAGAAACACAAATAATTTTGTCAGATTGCTGCATTTCTACTTAAAACAATGAGCTTGTATGGAGACAGATATATAGTTACCACTATTTTCACCTTTCAAAATAGATATTGGTACCTAAAAATGACCAAATTAATTTTACTCCATGACAAAAAAAAAAAAAAAAAAAAAAAAAAGCAAGCCTAATAGGAGTAGCATAGAGGCAGACTGGATTAAAGCCAAATAGCTTTCAGAACATTGACAGAAAGTTGCTCCAAAACTGCATCGTCATATTTATGATCACTGTTGATGGAAAATATTGTGGAAAAAAAAGATGTGCTTTCACTGCAGAGTGTTTGCAGATGTTTATCTTGTTTTCATGTGTCTGTTTTTGGATTTTATTGATGACTGCTGTGATAATATGCCGGGTCATACACCGCACCTTTGAAGTTGGGCCTGATGCGTGCATCGTATCCCGACGTTCTTCCCATGAGCTTGTCTAGGAAGTCAGAAGGTGAAAGCTGTGGTCCGGCCCGGCCGGGGGCCTTTGTCTCCTCCTTACAGGAGCTCAATCTGAAAGACAAAAAGACAAGGAACAAGCAAAGAGTGAGTGATTTAAAATTTTTACAGAGTAAGTGTTTTAAGTGTGTTGTAAAAGTATTTACACTCTTTTAACTTTTTTTTTTGTCAGGGTTCTGGCACAAGCTTCTAAACTTTGACTAGGTCACTATGTTGTCACTGTCAGGCAAAAGCCTATTTTTGGTCATTTTCTTTATTTTTTTCTGATGTGTTTTTACTTTCATATTTGTCTGTGGTTTTACTTTGATTTTGATCAAATGACATGAGTTTTCATTGAAGACACAATTTTTTTTTTTTTTTTACTGTAAAGTCACTTTTTTTAGGTATAAAATTTCTGTTTGACAGCGACAACATTCTTTTATATATTATAACAAATTATTTCAAATGTGTCTCTGATCTGCTTCAACACACTTGAATCAGATTATTAAGTCATTTGCAGCAGGGCTCTGATTTTTACTGAATAAGCAGAACCTCAAAAAGTGCTTTTTGCATCCCACACCAGACTCTGTTTAGTTCAAAAATAGCTCCGCCATCTTTGTTTCTGTATCAATGGCTCTGCTTAAGGATGCAGCAGCGCCCTCTTCTGGATGGAAGCCATTCTACAACAATTTATAAGCGGAGGTTATTAGTTAATCGATTGGAACTCATTTTAATGTAATTAACCATTAATCGACAATTAATCAAAAGTCAATTAACAGTTTCCACCCCTGGTTCTGATGTAGCATTAAGTGGAGAGAAAATATGAGAATCCAACAAAATGACAATCAGCAAATCTGCTAATAAAATAATCCAGCTGCAGAGAATTGAGGATGAAAATTAGATCAAATAAGTTGATAAAGAACAATTTAACTCTGTTGCATGATGTCTGTGTCTCATTGCACTTGTTAGGCTACAAATACAGAGAAGGAACAGAGAAGCTGAGGTAAACGTGTCCCTTTCCTGTGATTCCCTCTGCTGCTGCCTTAGCAGGGGTAAGTCTGACAGAATGATGGCTCAATTGTAATGCTATGAACGTCACACAGGGGAGAGGAACGAGTTGATTGGAGCTCCAGAGAGGCTTAGACAACCACTGACAGGAATTACCAACATGCAGGAGTCAAAATGAGAAGAGGAAGGAAGTGGAACAATTTTTTTAAAAGGTAAAGATAAAGAACGGAATCCTGGATCATAATGGATTAGATTTCAGTTTGGCCCCTGCTATAGCTCAGCATGTTGCACTGCGTGATTTTGATACAACTGTAAATAGTGCACGATCCGTCTTGATCTGAAGCTCCGTAGTGGAGATGGCAGGTTCAATCCCAAGGCAGCTTTGCTGATGTACTGTATTCCTGGGAGTGTGTGTGTGTGGAGCCAGTTTCTGATCCATCAATCTTAGGACCTCTTAGCTCTATCTACAGTCACATGAACTGCACAGTCAGGGAGTACAGGCTGGAGGTCTTTGTGGAGAATATATCAGGTCACAAAGACGCTGGATTGACATCATGATATATTTGTGCCTTGTAGTTTAGGCTGCAAATAGAAATTCAAACTCAAGACGTGTCTCATTACCTCAACATTCCTAACAGGCTTGTTTATATAGCTTCACACATTATTGGCGAGGATTTACTGTCACTATGCAGGAAATACAAAAAATGCCAATTCCACCGCAAGTGAAGCTCACAGTACTTTAATTTGAAAAAAAAAAAAAGACAATGCAGATATTTGTGTGTAAATAGCAAACAGTTTTACAACAAAAACACTGCAATTAACAGTCAAAGAACAAGTCTTAGACGTTGCAGACAGCAAAACAACTCATTATCCCCCCATTTTCTTTAAATTGGGATAATTATACAAGCGCAATTTCAAGAACACTAGAGATATTTTCAGATGTACTGGGAAAAAAAGCAGCATTCAATATATTTTTAATTTCTTTCAGATAGGTTTTTGTTGTTTTCTAACAACCCAACTTTACAGACTCTTGCCAAAATGTTAATATCCCTGAAACTCTTTCACATTTCCCCACATTACAACCACAAACTTCAGTTAATTTTATTGATATTTTATGCTATGCAAGAAAAAAGTGCAATAGTTTCTTTCTTTGTCATAATGAAAGTTGCTAAGAATCCAAATACAGTGAAAATGAATTCGGGAGGATGGTGACTCAGAACAGAACAAGGAAATTGGCGTGGTGTGTTGCCAACCACGATCAGGACATCTTGATTTCCTGTTTGAGGCTCTTTCATAGAGGTTAGATGGGTACAAAACTAAAGGTAGTCCTAGAGATTCTCCCACTTGAGTTGTGGATCTCTGCAGCTCCTCCAGAGTTACCAGAGGCCTCTTATTTGTTACTTTGATTAATGCTTTCTCTGCCCTCGCTGCCAGTTTAGCTGGAGACTTCAGTCTTGGTAGGTTTGCATTCAGATTATACTCTTTCCATTTTTAAACAATGTATTGATTGCTTTCTGAGATGAATAAAGCTTGGAAAATTGAGCAAACCAGACAAAACTTCTCAGCTTTTAGTGAACATTTTTGAATACTCAGTTTTTCTGACGTTTTATGGTTATATGCTCTCCTTTGTTGTTCTGTTGCATAAAAGGCAATAAAATTCATTGAATTTGTAATTAGTGAAATGTGAAATTGTTTAAGGAGTTTTAAGCTATTTGCAAGGTGCTGTAAATTAATATTACAAACTTCATCACTAGAGCAGCACGATTTCAGGCATCCAGCTGCCATCTTCTTCCCCTTTCAAACAGCCTGAAATTTCCAAAAAGGACATATCAGATTTGCACACAGGTCATTCAAGCACACCCTCGGCAAGAGCTTCAATTCTGGATACACTTTATCATCTCTGACACAGGACCAGATAGTATTTTACAAGCTGAGACATGGAGAGAGCAAATCATTCATTTTATATTCAGGTTTATTCTATTTCTCTATCTGAAGTAATACCACGACTGCAGAGATCCATTGAGTTTTGATTGTAATTCTTCATCCTTGAAAAAGAGTTGCAAATGTTGCAGTTGGACAACGTTCAGTGATATCTGATGTGAATTTATGAAAATTGCAAATTCATGAAAATTGCATCAGTACTGATGATATTTTGTCTCTGTCATCTTTTTTGTTACACTAATCAGCTCTTTTGTTCTGTTTGTAGACTCAGTGCTGTGTTTTGTACCTATGGGAACCTAATGCTGGTCATGGCTCATTATTTTACCTTCTTTCTGACATGAGGAGGCAATTTATCACATTTGACATCTAATTACTACCTTTCGTAAATTAAGTTTTCTGTTGACCAGTCATTTTGCATTATTTATCCAGTCATGTTTTACAAATCCACAGTTGGTTACAAAACACTTTCCAGTCTCTTTCACCAGTCTTTATTGTCAGTATTTAGCACATGTACCAAGTGATTAAAGTACATTTCTTGATCTTTGAGGAAAAACTGCTTCAGTTTTGTGCATGGAAAACATCCACAAACAAATTTAAAAAGGCTCATGTTAAAGAAAATAAAATTTTTCAGTTTTAGGATTTTACTAAACATGATAAAAAAAAATTTCTGTACCCTTCATTCACGGTAAAATGATGAACATCTAATAGTTTGGAATAGTTTGATTATCTGAAACATGATGTTTTTTAGTCTTTTTGTGTTAACACACCTGTGTATATGTCACAGCAACAAAATGACAAAACTCTGGATTTTATGGAGCTGCTCACATTAATCACCATCAATTAATCAATGCATTTTATCAGCAGGAGCTGCCTACTACTTTTTTATTATCCCCTGATGCAAAATCCCTTTAACTGAAAGGTGTCTTATTGTATACTATTAAGTTATGTCTGTAAATTCAAACACTAAAAGAAAATGTAAATATCAGACTATCTGCTACTAACTTTAATCTGCTACGTCTCTAATTTGTAGTTAAACTGATGATACTGAATGCACAGCCTTTTATTTATGCTTTTATTTCTCACACATGCTCTAGTACAAACAAAGTTGCACAGGGAGACGGAGTGATATGGAAATGTTCCGTGGCAGTTTGCCATTTATTAAACTCTTCTGGACTGAAAAATAGTGAATCTTAAAGCATTTTGTTGGCTCTCCGCTTCTCTAAAAAAAATCCCTTCTGATCTTTTGTTAATGGAGAGACTGCCAGCCTGTATTAACAAGTTAGAAATGTGTGAGCTGCAGTGTAAAAGCAGACTTATGTGAACATCAGCTTGAAATGTGACTGTCAAATAGCAGAGAAAATGTGTTGCAAAATGTAACAGAATTCGGTGACCATGGACGTCATAATGGATTTGTAAAAATGTCACTCTGGGCTCCATGGTGGAGGCGTGGGTGGCACAAGAAAGTTTGGCTTGGAAACCTGGCCTGTTTCTTTCTGCATGGAGTTTGCTTGTTGAACGTATGAGTTGTCTCCATGTACTCCAGCAGACCAAAAACACAACCCCACATACACCTTAAATACCAGTGTGCATGTGCCTGGTTGTTTGTCCTGTGTCTCTTTGTGTTGTTCTGTGATGGACTGACCAGTTAGTGCAGGAGATAGGCAAGACTACAGTGAATGATTTCTACCTTTAAGAAGCAATAAAGACTATATATTTTTTTTCAAAACTATTCAGAGATTAATGATGCTAAACTCTTCCCTGTTGAGTTCAACAGCTGAACTTCTCACCCTCAGCAGGAATAAGATTTCCTTTTTTCTTTGCTTTCTCACTACGACCGCTTCAACTCTCCAAACAGCATCTTGCATTTCTAATATAACTGCTTTAATGTTGGTTACATGGTAAGAATATCTTCTGTCTACTCTTTCTTCTCTGTAGCGAAACTCTCCAGTTCATTCCAAGACATGTTATGGTCCCTACAACAGATTCTAGGTGGGCTCTGGAGAGAAGCGGCCCAATCCAACCAACAGTGGTCGTAGCGCAAATTTACTCTGAATCAAATCCCTCACTGTCTCTCTACGGCTGAATGTAGCATCTAATATCCAGGGTCTCATTCTTTCAGTCAAGAT